TTAAAAAAAGAACAGTTCCTTTCTGTTGTCCTCTTGATTGATCAGCCCTCAGAGGGGGCGCACCGGTCACAATATGCCATTTGAGGTGTTCTAGCCATTCCTTCAGCCACTCGCTGGCCAGGCTGCCAGTGGCAATGGACACCCAATTGGCATAGCACACTGCAGCCCAGAACCCCTGAGCTCAAGCGATCTGCCGGCCTTAGCCTTCCAAGTAGCTGGAATTACAGGCGCACGCCACCATGCCTGACTCCATTAGTCTGTTATATTGTTTTCAAAATAAGAAGCTTTGCCATGAACCCTAAAAAGAAATCATTAAAAAACACGACAATTTTCAATGAAAGTTTGCCTTTTTCAAAACCGAGTGTTAGAAAGCCTAGAAATGCTGATTTAATGTGCACTGACCTTAACTCTGGCTGCATGTTCCTGGTAGCCTGCGTCCCAACTTTCTAAAGCAGTTTCATGTATTCAGTAAGTGCATCTGTATCAAAGCTAGTAACCTACTCAACTCAATATACTTGGGTGATTTGACTCCTGCAGGGGCACCTCAAACTTTAACAGTTCACCTTCAGATTTTCAGGTAGGTGGTTTCTGTAGCATGAGACAGGTAACTGAACCAGCAATGATGTACAGGTTCACAGCATCCAGAGTAGATGTCCAGTCATTGTAGATTGGGTGAGTCTGGGTGAAACTAGGGAGAGGTCAAAATTTTGTTGATAATGATAACCTTGCCACAACTTTAACAATGGAGAGAGACTGTCCAAAAGAGTGAGAGATCCTAATGTCATTCAAATGTGCAAGGGGACAGAGTTAAGCTGGCTGTGGTAACCCTAATTCTGTTTCCTGACTTGTTTGAAATAAAAGTTCAGTCACTATGTGGCAATAACATGGTCCTTGGTACATTTCAATTATTGTTTCAAGGAAAATGATGTATTCCATTAAACCAGACCTCCACTGATTTCTTCATCTCTGCCTAATCCACAAAAACAAAACAAAACCTTCTGGGCTGGCATTAATCATAAGCATTTGTGTTCTTTTGTTTTAAAAAATGTATAGCTACTATAACCAAGTGTCTTAGATTGAAAGTGCCATCTCAGCCAGAACTATAATAAAACGAGCTAATGGTTATGTGCATGTTAGCAAAAATGAATGGTAACAACAGAGCCGGATGTGGACAGAAAGGTATTCAATTGTGTACTCATTAAATGAAGGATTATTCATATCGGTGAGGAAATCATTTCAACAAGAAATTGAACTTGAATGCCTTTACCTCTAAAAGCTACTTATTGAGTTAAAGGCTAATCGGTTTGCTCAATCAGTCTTAATTCTACTTAAGTCATATAGACAGCTGCCTGGTGCTTAGACAAACCTCTGTTTATAATATTTTTTCCCTTGGGGATCTCTAATCCAGGTAATAACCTGGCCTAGCTCTGGCTGGCTTTTAAAATCAACAATAAGAAACATATTCAGATCACCACAGTCCTACTCTTGTTTTGATCATCTGACAGCTGCCACTACAGTCATAACTTTCTGTGATGCCTATAATGTATTCCTCTCTGGATCAATGTATACTTATGCAATATCATTATTTGAGTTTTACACCATTAGCATCAATGTTGCATAAACCACTGCATAGACAAGAAGGTGAAAAGTAATGAGGGGTGGAAGGATGGTCTTGTGGCTAACGGAAAAGTGGAAAATCTGGCTCCAATCACTGGCTTTGCTGCTCTGCTTCCTTTGGGCCCTTTGGAAAGTCACTTAATCACTCTCTACTTCCATTTCTCAATCTCTAAAATGGAGATGATAATATCATTTGTATCATATCATCTCACAGAAGACCCAGTGGGGATCAAGGCCTGTTGTGCTATGTGCTGTACAAACAAGTAGAAAGACAGTCTGTGCTCCAAGAAGCTTGCAGTGTAAGATGCCAGTCCCCGCCCAAAATCTGAACATGAAAGGGACCCTTTAGGCACAGAACTCCTCAGAACTATGTGGAAAAGTTGCTTGGGTACTTCTGTGGCACGATACCTTCCATCTCCCAGGCCCCCCAAAGATCTCCCCATGAATCTAGGATCTATACTGGGAAAGGGGATGCAGGCTGGAGGAGAAGAGGGTAGGTTGTGGATGGGATGGATGCACAGGTGTTTCCCAGAGAAGATAATACAACTTGAGGTTGTATTAGCATTTCCCTGTAGCCCTCTATACTGGGGGCAATGTTGCCATGAGGAGTCTCTGGTACACAGCTCCAATGGAGTCACACTGTCAGAGTGCTCTAGGAAGCTGCTAGAATCACTTAGCCATCTCTTTGAGACCCAGGGATTCCTACACAAAAGGAACTCACAGTTGCTCAGGAATGGTGCAAAGGAGCTGGACTGGGAGCTGAGAGTCTGTCCCTACATGTTTGTTTGCGCTATGGGCAGTGTAAGATCTCTGAGGTCCTTATGTAGTTGTTTCCTTGCTTTCAGAAAGGTGAGTTTTGTAAATGATGTGAAAGATAAGCACTTTGCTTTCATTTTAGCAACATTTTGTTGTTGGATTTAACTTTTATATTGCAGTGGCCACAGTTAGGATCAGAGCCCCATTGTGCTCCAGTGAACTCCAGTATGAACTTAAGGCGAGACCCTTTGTTGGTGCATGTAGTTATAGCATGATAATGAGCAGTCTGGGGCTGAATGGCTGCCGAGTCCAAAGCATGCTTCACACCTCTGTTGATACATAAAATCAACTGAAACCAGTTATGACTATGAGAATGATTACCCAACCCATCTCTGCATCTGCAGTCATTCACCACACACCCCATTTTTGGTGCCTGTTCAATCCTTAAAGAAAGTAATTAGCACACAATCTTTAATAATTCATCAAATGATTTTGAAATGAGGTTTCTTCAAAGAATACAAAGCATTTGTGTTTTACTGAGCAATATATACCTGCTAAGTTTAAAATGAGGTTTTTCAAGTACAGTAAAAATCTGAACTTTCTTGACAGGTGAAAATTTTCCATTTCTCACCGACCCCAAAATCCTTAGCCCATTTTTAGATGATTGCACATTATTGAATGTATGTTTCCAACCCTTTCCTAAATTACTCAAATCTGTGCTGAAAGCAAGCATGACAAAATGTATCTCCAAAATGTAGTTTTAGGAGAGACTTTCAAGCTCCAATTCAACAAAGAATTTAATATTGTGGTTAACTTAAAGCACATTCTTAAGTCATTGTAGTCTATGAGACTTAAGCATGCGCTGAAGTGCTTTGCTAACTCAGGGCTTTGGTGACTAAAATGAAGGGTTTTTTTGTAGCAGTCATTTGTCTTCAACCTTCATTATAGCATCATTTTCAAAATGTTATAATCCTGTGTCTCAATTTCTGTGTTTTTATAACAAGATTTATCATTGGACTTTAGTTACATTTCTTCCTCCATGTATCATCTAAGATCTGACACTTTTATTAAACTGCTTGAGCCTAAGGTTACAGCTCTTTTTATTAGCGAGGCTCGTGAATTTTTCATCAGCTGGTAGCTGGAAATATACTTTCAAAGATATGAAATTAACAACAAATTAAATTTATATCGTTCTGTCATTTCAGTTATACACTGGATCAGGCATTAATAATTGTACAGCTGTGACATTTGTTCTTTTATTACCTCTTCCATTGTTTTATCTGAAGTATATGTGGTTTTAAAATTATGCTTCATGTGTAATTATATAACTGCTTTCTCAATACCACATTTAGTGGTAATTATTTTTATTGACATGTGCTTGTAAGTCATTACTGACCAAGTCTCCATTGTAAATGACAGCTAATTCTCAATGGATTTAAATGGCAACATAAAAGTTTTGCTTGTTTCCACAATTTTGTGTCCTTCCTCCTAGTCCAGGTTTGATTTTGTTTAAAAACAGTCTCTTTTCTTACCATTTGCATGAAGTGCACCGATTGTAGCCTATAGTGCTAAATTGGGGACAAGCAGGGATAACCTGTAGCCATCATACCTTATATGGATTTTATAATCTAGATATGTTAAGGCCTTGCCAATGCCTGAGGTGAGACTAAGAGAAATGTAAGTACTGTAGGCAGTGCTGGCGATGATTTTGGTAGGGGACATTCTTATAGCCACATTTAGGCACCCATTTGAATATACTTCACTTTACTCATTGATTTCACTGGGACCATATGTAAGGCTGGCATGATCTGGCCCTGAGTCAGTACTGACCTGATGACACTACACGGCACTACGGCATGCTGTGAAATATGAAACCTATCTCCTGACTCACTGTATTTACTAAAAGATCACAGATTGAATTTCAGCATGAGGTAAGGTCATTAACTAATATGTTGGGCTACATTTGAGACTGAACTGCCTCCCTAAAATTCCTCTTGTTTCAAATGAAGAAGCTATTTTCCCTGTCTTTTATAAATGCCATGTTGTGCTATGGGAACAGAATGGCTGCCAGCATCCAGCTCAGAGGTGTCTGCATTTCAGTTGTATGTAAAAGATCCCTGTCTGTGTCATCTGGGTACCTTTGGGATCATTATGGATGAAAGGTGTTAAAAATTATATTATTTTCTGACCCCCCTCCTCCAGAACTGCTGGCACAGTAATGACACTCTTCTCCCAGGTGGAATGAGACACAGTCTGCTTCAGACCTGTTCTTTCGGTAGCTTACCTTTTAGCAGTGTTCTCTGAGCAGTGTGATTGGCACCCTGACACTTCCCCTTGAAGATAGGGAAAATTCGATATCAATCCAAATGGTACGTGATCAGGAAGCTACTCCAATCACATTTAGGCCCAGTACTTGGCCATCTTATAGCCAAGATGTCTGTTCATGCTATTTAACAGTAATATTAGGCCTTTCATATTATGAAACAAATAAACATGTTCAGAAAACAATAATAGAGGAATGGAAACAACCATGGGGTTCTTTCCCATATGCCCTCTGTGTTCAGATGAGACCACACACAAAAATAAGGTGCTTTCATAGCTAAAATTTTTTTCCCCTTCCCCTGCAGATAACACAAGTACATCTAAGTGACTTCTACCATGGCCTCAGCAAATTGATGATGAAAATAAGGAAACTGTGGGATTACTTCTTTCAGCTTCCCTGGACAATGGAAGGAGAGCCAATCACTTCTACTTTGTTGCCTCCTGGGAATGTTCCACAAGACGCTAGCTTGACCCTGGAGCAGAAAACCACATTTGTCTTTGTGATCTTATTATTTATTTTCTTAGGCATTCTCATTGTCCGATGCTTCCGAATTCTCTTAGACCCCTACAGGAGTATGCCCACCTCCACCTGGGCTGATGGACTTGATGGGATAGAGAAAGGCCAGTTTGATTATGCCCTGGCTTAGACTGACGACTCAGAAATATTATTTAGAGGAGTTTGTTTTTTAAAAAAAAAACTGGAATGTAGATTTATTTTCCCCCAATTTTCTCAGACATTATAAAAGCCTTGCATGACTGCACAAAATATTAATTTGTTTTTAAATAAACATCAAAGTGAGTTAAACATTTGAAGGTAGACTGGTGATTCTCCTAATGGAGGGGGAAAAATAAAGCTATAACTGTGGTTCAAAACATATTGGAACAATATATAACATAGATGGTATCTTATGACTCCGAATAAGTTTGATTTGTAGTTGCTGAAGAAAGCCTTATTGTTTGAAAGTAGCTTTTTTACAAGTATCAGTAGATTTACAGGTTGGGTAGGAATGTTTTTTTATGAGTTGTATGTGGCAATTAAATAAACTTTTAACGCCCCACTGGCTTTTAAAATAAATGTACGGGGGGAGGGGAGGGGAGACTCATACCAGATTTCCTCATGTCACAGTCACAGCTCTTCCAAGCTGCTCTGGTTTATTCCTCCGCCCTTCAGTACAGCTATACATAACACATAGAATGTAGCTGGAGTTCATGCAGATAATTCCCAATTGCTATTGCCAGCTCCAGAGGGCAGAGAGGGTCCTTTATTGTGAAGCCTGGTACCTCCAACCAAGGTGACCCCTCAATTTGCATGAGACACAAGGGCTGCTGTCCCTTAGGAAAATGAATAATGCTACCACAACTGGCGCAGAGTATAGACCCGGTTACCCGCTACACAAGAAACAATGAAGTACATCAACCCAAACCACAGCAAAGGAATGACACTATCCCAAAGTAACAATATAACAAAGGGAGAGTTACTGGGAGCAGGAAAATAGGATCTAGGGAAGGTTAGGGTTAAGGTTAACTAATGAGTACTAACATATCAATACTCCCAACACTTCCTAGACTACAGTTTCCTCCCTAGCACTTTCCCCAGGCAGAGGGTATACTGAAGATGAGTCTAGAGATGAGTGTTGTAGCACCATGAATGCTGGCCAGCTTAAACAAAAAAGGCCACCTTTTGACTAAAGTGTAGCCAATTGCTTGACTACATTTACAGTTTTATATTTAAAATATCTGAGAGACCAAATAGCCAAGTTTAATCAGTTTAAAGACAAAGCACTGCAACATGAAAATGAGCCATCCATACCATTCTTTCTAGGAAGCAATCAGTCGCACAGGATGGCATTCATCTTATACAGGAGATCTGATTTGAAACTAGGTACCTAAGTCTAGCTATATTTGTAGTACAAATTAAACATGTTTATAAGTTAGAGAGCACTTAATAAGTCATCCACCAGTCTATACTTGTTTTTTGATACAATCCTGTACCTTCCTTATCTTTGCTTTGACTACCATGTTCCAGGTATCAGTAGGTCATGACAGCATTCCCTAGTGGTACCAGGAAATACCATTCATACATGTTGCTTCTGATAGGTTTTGTATTTGGCTGTGCCAAACTGTTGCAAATGTTGCAAACTATTATGGGATGTTAACATCATTCTGGAAAAAAACATAACACAAATCACAAGTAATAGAATTTAGCATAACTACCCAGCATTCAATACAATGTTACTACTGTGCACAACACATATCAGTGTGGTGTGCCAGAAACATAACAATAGATATCGGATAACGCACCACTTCATGAACATGATGCAGTGGAAATCAGTGGTTGCAAAGAGCTGTGGTGTCACATGAGGTTGTCCTGCAGTCAGTGCCAGATTAAGGTATAAAGTATAAGGTAGCTAAACTACAGCTTAGGGCCATGCAATATGAGGGGGCCTCTAAAAAAGAAAAAACTGACTCCATTTCAAATTTTATCGAAATCGGTTGATAAATAAAGGAGATATGGGGAAAAGAAGATTCTCTCTAAATATATACATTTTTGTTCAAATATGACAAAAATATACACATCAGGCTACACAAATACCCTTACCTACTCTTACCCTTCACTAATTGTTCATTATTGACAAGCAGCAGGACAGGGCTGAGAAAAAAATAACGATAATTGCACTTGTAAAATTAGTATTTCTACATGTAAATCTGCTATCAGTCTCCTAAGGCAGCATTTTATTGGCCAACTGCTTCTGGTAAAATTCTGACCATGCCTTCATAACTTATTTAAATAAATAAATAATCTCACTGCCGACAAAATCGGGAAAATGTGAGGTCGGAGACTGCAATGTCATGAAGCAATCCTGCCAAGCTCATACTCGTATATTAGTGTGTTCTTTCTTCTTTTGACCTGTACATATGTACGATAGTGTATTTAGTGCGCACGCCATTTTCTGCTTCATGCGCTATCCATGCTGCACATGATTGAGTTTGCAGGTGATCGTCTTATGGACTTGGGTCAAGTGGATCTTGAGGAGGATAAATTTGTGTTGGCTTTCCTTTGTCAGTTTCAGGAACCTTCACAGTAAATATCAGAGACTGCTGACGAAAGGATAAATAGAGGGTTTTGAGAGCAGTGAAGAAAGATATACATATATATCAAAATATTCTGAGTACTTTGGTGAGCAAGTTATTTTAAACTATGTGCAGCTATGATTTATCAGCTATTAAAGCCTATAATATTCATTATATTTGTTTGCCTATATATTCAGGCACTTTCTCAATGCCTGTCTAGAGATTACCAGACTTTTTTCTGGTAAATGCTTTCTTTCTCTTTCGTGCATGTAGCTTGTTGTCACTCTGTGTGTCCCAAGTGTTTACTTCAGATTAATCAGTGGTCCTGGGGGAGACAGAGGATAGACAAATGACTGCAAAGAGAGATGTCTGCCTAGAAGAAGTCTGGGATTTTCTCCTCACTGGGTTTGGTGCATGAAAGATAATATTTTATTATAGGTCGTATGCTATGTAAAAATTCTAATATAGACTTATAAATCACATACTGTATGCATAATACATTGTATTTTTATAGTATAGCAAAAGAAAAATCCCAACAATTAATTGTTTATTTTGTATTTTTTATATTGTATTGTTTATTTCTACTTTACTTACATATGCAATTAGTTCAAAGAATTTGTCTAAAATTTATTTCTATCATGATGTCATTATTACAGAGAGGGCTGCTGAAAATGAAGATTATTGTTCTATTTTTACAACTTCACCTTTGTATATATGCAAACATAAAGCTTTTGTGTTTATATATTCAGTGTGCTTTCTGTGAAAATAAGAAATTCATTTTTTTATGGTATGGGGCCTCTTACACTTGACATAATTTAGGGCCTCAGAATGTCGTAATCTGGCCCTGTCTGTAGTCTTACGAAGTTGTCACCCCAGACAGACATATACTGAGGAAGAATAGGCAATACCTTCTACACCTTCCAGAAGGAAGGGAAGTAAGGGACACTAAGTTTGCCATTTTGCCTGAGAAGGTCTCAGAAAGGCAACAACCACAACAGGTCATGATAACCAAACCCCAGGACATTAAACTGGCAGAACAAATGACATTACCATCTCAAGACAACAGTGGCATTCGGGGCATGCACAAGAGGGGCAAGCAGGGGCATGGGCTTCCCCAGTAATCATTGTGGGCACCGGACTCCTCCAGCCCCGGGGAATGGGGGCAGCGAGAGCTTCTCCCAGCCCTGGGACTTTGTCGGGGGAGGGAGAAGAGCGAGTTCTTCCGGCCCCAGGGCAGCGGTAGAAGCTGACAGCTCCTCCAGCCACGGGCCTTCACAGGGGTACAGAACGTATCCCTCCAAAAGGGGTCAAATTTAGATTCCTGCGCATGCCCTGGTAGCATTGATATTTCAAGAGAGACTACAAGTCCAAGTCCAAACTACAGTGTAAACTGCCTTAGAGGGCACATTGTTAATGAGTTTAGTTAGTAGGCTAAGTATGAGTTTTTGGACTGTGACTTATATAAATGTTGTTTAAGGGTATGTCTACACGGCAATTAAAAACCCTCGAGTGGCCCGTGCCGGCTGAGTTGGGCTAAGGACCTGTTTAACTGCAGTGTAGAAACATGGGCTCAGGCTGGAGCCTGAGCTATGAGACCCTCCCCCCTCACAGGGTCCCAGAGCTCAGGCTCCAGCTTGTGCCTGAATATCTATACCATAATTAAACAGCTCCCTGGCCTGAGCCCTGCTAACCTGAGTCAGCTGGCACAGACCAGCCACAGGTGTTTAATTGCAGTGAAGACATACCCTAAGGCAGGGATCGGCAACCTTTGGCACGAGGCCCATCAGGGAAATCTGCTGGCGGGCCAGGACGGTTTGTTTACCTGCTGCGTCCGCAGGTTTGGCTGATCACAGCTCCCACGGGCCGCAGTTCGCTGTTCCAGGCCAATGGGGGATGAGGGAAGCGGTGTGGGCCGAGGGATGTGCTGGCTGCCACTTCCCACAGCCCCCATTGGCCTGGAATGGCGAGCTGCGGCCACTGGGAGCTGTGATCGGCCGAACCTGCAGACGCTGCAGGTAAACAAACCATCCCGGCCCACCAGCGGATTTCCCTGACGGGCTGCATGCCAAAGGTTGCCAATCCCTGCCCTAAAACCATGTGTACACTTGCAAGGTTACAACAGTACTGCTGTAAGATCATTCATGTAGATGCTCTATGCTGGTGGGAGAGAGTTCTTCCATTGACATAATAAAACCACCTCCATGAGCAACGGTAACTATGTTGAAGAGGTGCAAGTGGCCAGCAGGTGGCGGGCGGGAGGGAGCGAAGAGGCATGAGCAGTGGGCAGAGGGGAGAACTGGGGGAGAGGGCGAAGAAGCATGAGTGGCAGGTGGGGGAGGGACTGGGGAGGAAGCAAAGAGGTGTGAGCAGCAGACCGGGGAGGAGGCAAAGAAGCACGGGCAGGGGGACTGTGGGAGAGGACAAAGAGGTGTGAGGGGTAGGTGGGGCACCAGGGGAGGGGCAAAGAGGTGCATGAGCGGTCGGTTGGCCAGCTGACAGGTGGGGAAGGGAACTGAGAGGGGCTGGGGGTGGAGTATGGGTGAGGCTTCTTGGGGAGGAGGCTGAATGGGGGTAGGACTAGGATTGGGGCCACAGGCTGGGTGCACAAAGCCTCCCCCAATGGAGGAGTCATGCACAGCCCATGGAAGATGTAGCATTGAGAACAGTACTATTTAGTGGTTTTGTTTCCCAAGCAGGAAGTCTGGGGAGGGTTGCTTTCAAAAATCTTAGGCCCTGACTGAACAGCCAGGCAGGCCAGCTTTCCTTTACATGGGGCAATTAGAATAGACTTTTGGAAAGGAAGAGCCATATTCCATTCCAAGTAGGCAACCTTGGTGTCATGGGGTGATTAGCCCCTTTAGTATGAAGCAGGGTCCACCTGTGGAGCACCTGTGACTGATTAGCTGCTTAACAGAAGGGCTTAAACTGAGTTTAAAAGAAGGTACCTGGGCCATAGTAGGGAGACTGGAAGAGTCTGAAAGCAGTCTGACACAGGAGGGTGCAAGGAAAGGGGCTGGGCGAGGCACAGCACAGCACAGCACAGCACCCGCGCAAAGGAGTGGAACAGAGCAGGTGAGAACTACCTGGGAGAGTCAAGGCAGTTGCAGAGAGTGGGAAGCTCTGCAGGACCTCCATGTAAACAGCAAGGAATTGATTGAGAGACTAGGGAGGGACTAGACTGCTGACTTTCCTGAACCAGAGCTGGGAGGCTGAAAGGCTATGTCGACACTGCATCTGGGGGTGAGTCTCTAAGCCAGTGGTTCTTAACCTTTACTGCAGCCTGCACCCCTTTGGTTCTCAAAATATGTTCTCGCACCCCTTTATCAAAAATTGTTGCAGTAGGTCAGTTCTTTAAACCTAGATATATTTTTTGTTTGTATATTACAGAAATCATTAAAAAATGTATAATAATAAATGCATAGGTTTGATGAAACAAAGTCGTTGTACTTACATGCGTGTGTTTAGTTTGTGTTTTCGATGATTTACCTTCTAAAAAAATCTGGCATGTCTTGCATCCCCAGAAAGGGCATCATGCACCCTCTGGGGGTGCGTGCACCCTAGTTTAAGAACCACTGCTCTAAGCCCAGGTAGCCAGACTTGTCCTAGTGGGGCTCAAACTATTGTGATTAAAAACAGCAGTGTAGATGTTGCAGCTTGGGCTGAGGTTCAGGCTCTCAAGCCTGCCCAATCCCCTGGTCTGAGCTTGGATGGCTAGCCTGAGTTGCTGCTGGAACCATGACATACATATTGCTATTTTAGTGTGTTAGCTACAGCCAAGCTAGGCATGAGTCTGTCCGCCTAGGCTGGGAGGCTTGCTCCCAGCTGCAGTATAGATATATCTGACAGAGCTCAGGCACTGGACTGTATTTTGGGTTGAAGAGTCATGATGCTGGTTGCTTTCAAGTGAGTGGCCAGGAGAGTGGGGCCCTGGACCAAAGGCAGAAAGGCACTGGGAACTGAGTGCTGCTGGTCTCTATTCCCCTCTCAGGTGGATGAGCTGGAAGTGAGTTCCCCAGAGAGAACTGCTGTATCTCTGTTTTACAGCAGAACTGGGGACACTTGCTTTACCATGAGGTTTCTATGGACTTTTATGTGTACATGACTAAGCCATGCCCAGAGGTGGGACTTTGAATTGGACAATGAGAGGAACTGTATTATTTTTATGGCTGGACTGAGGGGAAACTGAGGCAGATGCATCTGTCATACAGTGCTCTGATGCAGGAGGCTACCCTAGGCCAGGTCGCCTTATTACATTTTGTGGAAAACATGGGCACCTCAATTGGTCCCTGCCCAGAGAGATGCAGTACAGCAGGAAAGTCCTCAAGGAAGGGCTGCTCTATCACGCATGGACACGTCTCACCTCCCATAAGCATGTAGGGTCACTGACTCCTTAAATGAAATATTGAGACTTAAAAGGGAGGGCCTGCATGTTAATGTAATCGCAGGACAGGGAGCTCTGTATCTCTCCACAATGTGGGCTGGGCCCAAATCTCTAGTTTATCCTATTGAAGAAAATCTGTCATTTGAAGGAAAAAGTCACTCAAAAAAAGTTGCTTGATATGTTTAATTACAGTCTTGCATGACAAGGTGTGTTTAAAAATGAGGCCTTTCTTGGTGATCCATATTTGTTCTCAGTGGCTTCCACATCAAATTTGTTCAGTTTATAACTCAAAGCAAGCTTTTACTCTTGCTAGTACAGTGAGTTCTACTTTCATATTTGAAAATAAAGCTGTTTTACTTCCCATTCTGTGCCTCCTGTGATCAGTGCTCTTGGAGTTCTGTGGCACTTCAGAAATTATTTCTAAAACAGGTTTTTATAGATTCTGTGCCATTTCTGCAGCACCGATATGAGCCTGCAGAATCTAAGTGAATCCTACTCCCTTTGTGTGTCATAATAAAAGCACTTTACACTACACAGAGGACTCTTCAGACACTAGCTTCTCATTCTTCACAGCAGCCCTGAGAGGTCAGTACTATTACCCCTGTGTTGCAGAAGGGGAAGCTGAGGTAGAGATGTTAAGTAACGCTCCCAAGGCAGAGCCAGCATACAGTTAGTGGCAGAGCCAAGATTGGAACTTCAGAGTTTGGCTCTCTGACCTAGGCTGAGATCACTAGACAATGCTCCTGGACCATGGAGTAATAGCAGAGGTGCCCCTTGATCTCTGTTTCAACTGGGAGGCTACAGTATTCCAAATTGGTCCTGCAGCTGTACTTTGCATTGGGAAATGGCCAGTTCATTCTGCCTATTGTGGCAGATGCACTAGTCCCACTGGTGCCCTAAACTCTACTACTTAAGTCAGCATTTCTCAAATGTGGCCACCAGGGGCTTTTCTTGTGGCCACGGCCTTCTGGACTGTGATTGAGGGGGTAAAGTAGCACCTTGGTGTTGGTTGCTGGGACCACCAGCAGGAGTTGGGCCCTGTCCCCCTCTGGAGACACCTGGGGCACAAAGCTGGAAAAGCAGGCAGCCTGTGATTTCCCCACCTTCACAGGGGTGGTGGGGCTCAGGCTTTGGGCTTCAGCCCTGGGGTGGCAGGCTCTGGACATGGGGCTTTGGGCTCCATTCCCAGGCTCCAGCTGCGCAGGGGCAAGTCCAGGCTCCAGCCACATGGCTTCAGGCTCCATCCCCAGGCCCTGTGCCCTGGCCATGGGACTTCAGGGAAGCACCAGCAGGCTGGAGCCTGGTCCCTGCTGCCTCCCCCAACCCCCCATCCAGGGCTTAATTTGTCCCTAGGCTTGCCAGG